GGCCATGGCATGTTGGGATTCCCGGCCAGGCTTTTGCTGCCTAAAGAGCCCCAGCGTTGTTTCTTTGCCTAGCTTTCGCCACCCCCGTCCGGGCCACAAGTTATCTAAGGTCGTCAGTGATGCCAATGGTGTTCCTTGAGGACACCAAGAGCAAAATTGAGCCATCCTCAGATGGACATCGCTAGTAGGTTGGAGGCCATTAAAGATTTTCTTGTGAAGAATCACATTGCAACAGGGGAGTAGAGAGGTAGGGTCGGAAGAGGCAGCGAAGAGGTGCTTGGTCACTTGAAGTAGTAGCGATGCCTTTTGCTCCTAGTAGCTTCTTGTTACTACTAGTAAGGCACCTGTTACTACTAGCGTGGCACTTGTTTCTAGTAGCTTCTTGTTACTACTAGTAAGGCACTTGTTACTAGTAGCGATGCCTTTTGCTCCTAGTAGCTTCTTGTTAGTAGCTGGTAAGTGACTGCATGCCTTTTATGCAGAAGAACCTTTGGGATGGTGGAAACGATTCCTGGATTCTTGGGGAATCTCACCTTCAGGCAGAAGCAAACCAGAAGAATTCTGGAAGAAGGGGTCTCATTAAAGGGGGCCTTACCTTCTTCTTTTCATCTCTTTTCCTTTCACAATTCTTTCTTCTTGAGAAGCTTGACTTCCAATTGTTGAAGGCTGTAACCCAGCCCCGGCGGATTGCCGCCATCTCCTTGGCACAACGTCGGGCAGCAAAGCCTGTTTTGTCCAGTTTTGTTAAGGCAAATATTGGCTTGGTACGGCTCACTATAGTGTTCGTAGAGAAAATAATTAGACATGCAAACAAGACGAACGTAAGGGCCCTTTTAATTGATGCCTTTTTAAAGAGGCTGTGGCTGTGACCATTTTTTTTCATTCTCATTTTCTAGTTTGAGACAATATAGTTGCATTCAAGACGTGTTTGTTGCTGTTTTGCAAAAGTCTTGATGTGTCAACAGTTGGATGCTTGTGTTCGCTTGTATCCTGCCAAAGTGTTGGTCCATGTAGAATCGAAGTTCAACCACCACGTCTAGAGTTTAACATACCAAACCGCAAGTTTGCTTCTTATTGCCTCGAATCTCATCGAGCTGAGCTTTGCTTCTGAGGAGTTGCCTCGCAACTGGATGAGCCTGTCGGCCAGACAGTAGGTTTGCGGCTTGGCAACGCTTTGGTTTGTGACACTCGTAGCCTTGTAGTGGGGCCGATGAAGACAACTGCATATCGCCTTGGATCCTACATCTGCCAGTCTGCTGTGTCGTCTATACTATATTAGATTCTTATTCGATATTTGCGCAGAAGATTCAGATTGATGTCTTTCAGATTGCACGTTCGATGTCTTCGAACCTGTGTGCACGTTCTGTGCAGTCGGATGTCGACATGGCTGACAGGCTATCGAGTGGCCATGGATGGTCAGGCCTGATTTTTCGAGTGTCGAAGGTTTGTTACCAAAGTCCTCACCAACTGAACGAACGTCCTGCAAACCAATCTGATATCCAACTGCAAGCTCTTGATAGGTTAGGCATTTTATGCAGATGCGCTTAACTTTGCTAAACTTGGTACCACTGTGAAGGTCTCTACCTCAACGCGTTTATCCTTTGTCACCACAGGCACCGCAGCTTTGAATCCAACGCCAGCGATTGGAAGTTTTGACTGGCAATTGTGCAGCTTTTGTCAGCCTTATTTGGATGACACTTGTCAGCTTTTGTCAGCTTTACTGGCAATACGGCCCTTAAGAGCCAGCAGGCAGCAAGCTGGACTGAAAGAACTCTTGTCAATGTGCCTGAAACCTTGACTCTGGTGCCTCATGGAGGTGCATAAAAGCCCAAGGGTTTAATAGCAGATAATAGCGGCGTCAAGTAGGCTGGAGCTGTGTATTTAGCTGAAACATTGCCGAGTACTCAAGCTATTCCTTCAGGGCTATTCAGGTTGTTTGAAGGGCTGGGTAAAGGTTCAAAAGTCTTCCTACTTGCAAAGAATCGACTTGCTGGCCCGCCATGGCATCGAGCCGAAGACCTGGATCAAGCTAGCTTTATGAAAACACCCGATGTTGGCATTGTCATACAGTCATTACATTTTCTCAAATGAGACTAGGCCCATTTCGGCCTGCCGGGCCCAAAACTGTTCCTGGACTGGACCACCGGAAGTATGCCAGCAGTAGAGAGCACAATGCTTATTGCTAATTATTAGGCTAAAGTACGCACTCTTAGGTTGGAGGCCGTTGCTTCTAGACTTGGGATTGCTTGGACGTACGGTTCACACACTCGGGCGGTTCACACGATAAAGCAAGTATGGCCTGATTGTGCCCAGCCCTGGAAACCTCGATATATACGAAAACCTAAGCAGTGCAAAGGGATCCAACCTCGTTCAAAATCAAGGGGTCCAAAGCGTCAAAGTTCCGAGTTCGAAAGCTCCATGTTCCAAAGTAATGCCAGGAGCTACAAGTAGCTTCTTGCTCTTAGTAGCGATGGCCTCGAACCTACTTGCAATGGCCTCCACCTCGTAGGTTCTTGTTGCAGTAAGGATGCTCCTAGTAGCGATGCCAGGAGCCCCTAGTAGCGTCCTTGCTCCTAGTAGTAAGGCCAGGAGCCCCTAGTAGCTTCTTGTTACTAGTAGCCTCCTAAAGTGCTTGAAGTTCCAAGCCTCCAACGTTTATCACTTGGCACTTTACTGCAAAGCCGGTGCACAGAAACGGTCTTGTTAGGGACCAAGTAGGACGTTCTCCCACAACACAGGTACGTGAACTTTGGGGTCTCAAAGTCATATCACGACGCGATGGAAAGGTCTTCGTTGAGCAATGTTTTCCAAAGTGTCCATTGCCCCCTTGCGACATTAAATGCCAAAAGGCACCTTGTTATTCGAAAGGCTACAGGTTACACACACAAATCATAAAGAAATCCACTACGCCTTCTGGAAGTATTCCCCAGTCCATCCAACCATCCTGGCCTTGTTGTCGAGGTGCTTAATCATGTACTTGTTGCAGCAGCATGAACAATCACAAAATACCTTTTGCAGGTTGGCTGCTGATGTACTTGGCTCATCGGCCTGAGGCCTCATGGGTTGGGACAGGATTTAGGTTTGGAATCAAGATACTTCGGACATTCTGGAATCTCACACAGTTTGCATTTTCCTTTTTAGTCCTTTTATCAGTTTTGCCACACACTTTATATTCGTACTTCGATGCCCTTTCCATCCTCATTCACTCACATTATTTCCAGTTCTTCTAGTTTTGCTGCGCCCGGTGATTCCCGCGACTCATCCTTGTGCTATGGCAAGCTGCGATGGAAGAAACATCCCCGATTCATTCCCGGACACATCAACAACCCCTACTGAAGTAACACTCCTATGGTTCTTTTGCATCTCTTGCTCAGGACGTAAGCACAATCACAAACTCGAGAAGGGTATGCAGTATGAGCCTGAACAATGCCAAACCCTCTTGAAGCACCTGTTCGTCGTCACTGGGACCTTGACCCAGCCCTACGCCACCAGCTCCAACCCTCCCCAGATATGTGAGAAGATGTTCAAGAGTTATACCTGGCGGGTGTGCAAACCTGATGCTTCACCCCTACTTGGCAACATTTGACGTACCAGACCTTTCTAAGAAGCTCCAGCACGTCACGCCTGCCCCCCCTGAAAGACATCGAGGAACCAAATCATTAAGGCCCAGACTTCCTCAAGAAAGCCCCTAGCCTGCGTCCAAGCCTAGGAAGCTGCTTAAGCTGACTGGCTTACCTACTTAATGTACTAGCCCACCCCATTAAAAAGGCCTGGAGTTCCACGCATAAAGGCCTTTTTGGGCTCTCCACTTCCACGTATATGTGTGGGAGTGTACTAGTTAATTGTTAGCCCACCCCATCGGCACAACCCCCCCCAAACCCAAATTTACAAAAGCACAAATTAAACACACATTGTAAAGAAAGAACGTCGAGAAGTTTCAACGGAGCCAGGCCTTGCGTCACTACACCCACATTGTGCTCGATGAGATCCACGAGAGAGATCTCGATATGGACGGCTCGCGAGACATCACAAGATGCGTGGGTGTTTTGAGATTTTTTGGGTCACAGAAGGCTCTTATTCTTTTCTCGCCCTGACGTGGATATTTGATAAGTGAACATCAGGTCACTTGCTGAAGTTGACTTTCTGATTTCCAGCACAGCTGGGATTTTCGCCTGTCTTGGAGGATCTGTTGTGCCTTCTGCTCAAGCGGTCTTTGCAAAAGAATCCTGCGCTGCCGATGCCCCAGATACAGAAAAACGATAATTGTTGTGCCTGCTTCGTGGGGCCCTTACTTCTCAGTGTGCTTCATTTCTTCAGGCAGCATTAAAAGGTGCCAAGGTCATTCCTAGAAAGAAATTTAAGAACATGGAGATCATGGAGCAAATAAAAAATCCAGCACAAGCATAGGCATGGTCAGGGTTGCAGGTTGGCTTCTTGATCCGACTTTTAGTCTGTTAGTCTCTAGATTTTTCACTCAAATGGATATTCATTTTTTGATAACCTTGCCAAACCGTCCATCACTAGCATTACGTTGCTTCGATGTTTGATTCTTGTAGGTGCTAGGCCAGAATTTGCCACGAGCACGCCAATCAACATGTGGGCAGTGATGTCTATTCCAAAAGGCGAGCAGAGTGGTAAGTGTAATAGAGATGGCCTCTGGACTCCAACCTATTAGCGATGGCCTCCAACCTAAGAGAGATGGCCTCCACCTGCTGTCGAAGCCTGGTGTGACAGTCTGACGGTCGCAAGGCGGTTGGTCTTGATGTCCGCGACAGTTGACGCGACTCAGCAGGGACCCCAAGACTGATAGCGGCCAATTTGGATCGAGTTCAACCCATGTGGCGCAGTGCTTCTGATCGAACAGCCAACTGCCAAAGGCCAAAGGGCATCGCCATTAGGAGCAAGGACGCTAGTAGGTTGAAGTTTGCTCGACAGATTTGTTGCCTGGAATTTGTCGATAGCCTGGAGGCAAGTGCTTCGATTGGCAAGTTGTCATTGCAGCCACTCGGCCCCTCCCACCTCCAATAAAGCCACTGCCAGTCACTCCAGTCACCAGCGTTTTGCTGTTGAAGAAGCTCAATTCCGAGAGATTGATGCCGCCATGAATCGCTGCTTCTTCCTTTTTGGCATCCTCCTGTCAGCTATCGGCTGCTCAGCGATGAACTACAGCAAGTGACACCTGTTTTGACGGAAGATGAATGCACTTCTGAGCCTTACTGATTTATATATTGCTGATCATTTTTGCTTGTTTCACGTACCTTTCCCTTGGCGGTTCAACTTTTGCATTGTTGGTTTGTTGATCTAATTGGAGTTTGTCATTGACTCCTCACAGAAGGAGACAAACAGGAATTTTCGAAGGAGATGGGAAACCAGAAAGATGAGGAAGGCTAACGAGAGTAGAGTTGAGGACAGGAAAGAAAGGAGAACAACAAATGAAGCAACGAGAAGCAGCGAATCCTGAAAGACAGGGACGGATGGAGAAGGAGGATACACTTGGTACATCACATCTCATGAAATGTGCTGCAACAAGCCTTTGCTCCTAGTAGCTTGGTTGTTACTAGTAGTAATTAAGGCCAGGAGCTCCTAGTAGCGATGCCCTTTGTTCCTAGTAGCGTCCTTGCTCCTAGTTCTAGATGTGGATAGACGTGAGTTGAGCCGTCAGCCATTGCAATTTTGTAAAAAGGGCGGTGTCTTGCATTCCAACAGTGCTGGACTCCAACAATAGACGGAACACCCAGAACAAACTTCAATGCCCTGAAAGTGGGCTTATCAAACCTGGGCGCCACTCGAACCCAGCGTTCAACGCAGAACAGCCTGCCGTTTCTCAACAACGACTTCGGCTGAAAAGCTATTGCCATCCATGCAGCATGACTCCCTGCCCACTGGTTGACGATGCCATGTTTTTGGGCAGCTTGAAAACCCGCCCCACCAGTTTGCACAGAATATTCAGCCACTCAGCCTGACCCACTCCCATGTGTTTTGTATTGCTGGCGTGTGATGTGGCTCACTGGAGAAGGCAAACGTATGATTACTTTGTGTCAAAGCACAGCAACACATCGAAAGGCTAGATTATGACCTTGGTGTCAATAGTCCAAGAGTCCCACAGTCCAAGGCTTCTTTGCGTGGAAGCACGTCTTCAATCGTCAGCACTATCAAGACTCCTGCAGCAACTTTCGGCAACTTGGCCACACGGTCTTGCACAGCCTTCCGCCGTCCTGGTCTGGTGCTACTGTATATTGTGCCCTTTTGGACCTTTTGCTAGAATATATAAAATAAATATATATTGAACAGTAAGTAAGGGCTTCTTGAGACCGAGAAAAGACATGTCTTTTAGCTAGGAGCAAGGACGCTACTAGTTTGAGTCAAATTTGCCCGTGTTCGGAATGCACAGCTGTGACGCAATTGGAGGTCTCCAGTACGGACCTTGGAGGGCCATCCCTTCACCTGCGGTTGGCAACAGCTGAGACCAAAAACCTTTGGAGACTTTGCCACTTGAAGGAAATGAAGAAAGTAATGGTAACGGCCTCCAACGTAATAGTGATGGCCTCCAACCTAATGTAAAAGACGTATCAAGCTTTGACAAACTAAAGAAAGAAACTTGGACTGAAACACCTTACAGCGTATCTTTGTCAAGTGGCCCCCGAGTGTGAACTACTGAGGAAGGACTACATTGACGACGAACAAGAATGAAACTACTACTATTAAAGAGGTCCACACACACACACCTTCATGTCTTCTCTTGCAAGGAATCCTTTCTTCTTCACAAGTACTATATATAATATATATGTCAATAGAGATGAGGTCTCAGTATAGCTTCTATATAGGTACTTGCCATACCATTTTGGCTCAAGTGCCCAACCAGGTAAAAAGGAGCTTTAGCGCGCGAGCTTCATGTTAGACTAAGGGCTAGAACGGGGCCAGGGGCACGCTTTTCATCCGTTCGCAGGTTATCAGCCGTATCCAGACTCCTTCGAGCTGGGTACGAGCTACGGCCTTACACAACACCATCTAAACGCACACGCATCGGATAGATCAGTTACCCTCAGTCACTGAAGATGGACCAATCCGACGCCAGCACTGCATCCTTTGGAGCAGCCGCTGCGGCCGCAGATCGGGTGAGTGCATCCCACAACTCTAGTCCAGGTACGGTCGAAGCGGAGACTCTGACAGTGGTGAGAGAAGTTGCGACAGGTAGAGCACGAAGTCGTTCCCCGTCAGCGCACTCGACACCACCGGGGGGGACACCGAGATCGGGCCGTAGCCCTAGGGAGACAAGGAGGAGGACTGACACCGGAGCTGTGAGAGTGCTAGCTTTAGAGGATGGGTCAACTGTACCAGTACCGTCGGACAGCGAAGCTGGAGACGGAGCAAGGGCAAGCACTGACAACCTACAACTAGCACGGGCCGATGGAGACCTCAATGCGAAGTGTGCACAACTACTTGCCGAAGTGCATATGTTGAACCACCAAAACGCATGGATGGTCGAATGTGAGCAAAGACAGAACCAGATTATACAACACGAGACCGAAGTCCACGAAGTAGTGATGGCACACCTCGAAGAATGTTATGTAGAAGGATATGGAAATCAACGAAGAATCTCCCAACTTACAGAATCCAGAGACTGTTTGCTCTCAGCAGCACACGATTTGCAATACCAGATTGACACTGATCGTGTGGCAATGCGGGATCGTCTCACCCAGTTAGGGGAGTACGCTGATCGCAACAGCGCAGAGATGGTTAGTCAAGTCGTGAACATCGGCACGGAAGAGATCCAGGCTATATCGGCGGAAAGAGATCGAGCTGTGACGGAGCTCATGACTGCAGTCGCAGATGCTGAGAACATTAGGGATCTGTATAGGCAGGAGGTAGTTGGACTACAAAGGCAGAGTGTCAGGAACAAACACGAATATGCCGAGGAGACGAAGATGAAGGAAGCAATGTATACAAGCAAGATCAAATGGTTATCAGAAGAGAATGAGGAGCTCAACAACCGATCTTATAATCAGGACAATTTCATCATGACCATCAGAGAGCAATTGAAGAGGCCGAACGAGGAGTTGACGCAGGTGAGGACTCAAGGATCCGACCGACCGTCTCAACCATCCAACGTCGAACTCAAGAAAGCTGAGGTCAAGATGAACATGTTGGAAGAAGACATTCTACGTAAAGAGAGGATGTTGAAACGTCTTCAGGAAGAATTGATCGAATCTAGCGCGAGTGAAGCACAGCTGAAAGTCGCACTGAAGATGAAACCACCAGACATGGGATCAGAATCCAATGTGGAAAATGAGATGATGACCAGGCTTAAAGCGGAACTTGAACGCACCGGAAAGTCATTAAGGTCCGAGGAGAAAGAGGCGATGGAGTACTACGAAGGTATGATGCAGAACCAGCAGGACATGATGGAATTCGAAGCACATGCAGCACGACTCAGAGATGAGAGGAATAAGTACCGGAAGAGGTATGAAGAGGAGCGCATGAACGCTGAGAATGCAGCTGCAACCGAACATGGTGCCGCTTCATCCTCTAGCTCGGGTGGCTCCAAGATATCTCGGAAGGAACACGAGAAGATCAACATCCCTGCATGGCCCAAGATACACGACTTGGAGGTTTGGAAATCCCAAGTTGTAGCGGCAGTCGTGACGGCATCGGGCGACAAAAGACAAGAAGATTGGATCCAGTGGCTCTCGGATGCCTTCAAATCACCATATGACCCATTTCTGCTCGAGACATCGGGCGAAGCAAGATTCGCTAGCATAGATGCTAAGCTAGGTATCACCCTACACACGATTATCCACGCAGCAGGTGAGAGATCTCATGACGTACAACTGAAGGTGAGGCAGATGATGCAGAGACGTGCGAGAGGCACAACCCCGGGAATGGTTAAGGGACGAGAAATGTTAGCGTTGATCGTCGATAGCTTCCGGAGTGCCGACAACGTCGATGTGATGTATGCATCTAAGCACTTATTCGATCTGAAGTTCCCTGGAGATAATCAACTATCCAGATTCCTTGGACAGTGGGATGAGATCATATCAGGTATGGATGCGGATGACATGCTTCCTGACAAAGCACTCCGCAACCTGCTTTGGGACAAGATTAAAGATTCCAAAGTTATGGCGTTAGACTTGTCTGTGTACGACAACATGTTGGATAAGGATCCGGATAAGACCTATCAGAAGTTACGGGAGATTATGGCGAAGTGGATACGGAAATCAATCGAGACCACAAATAAGAAAGAAAGGGAAAAAGCTTTTGGGAACCTTATGAAGGCTACACCAGCGGAGAAGAAGGACCCTAAAGCGAAGCCCAAGAATACCAAGGCCGATCCACCGAAGGATGCCGCTCCAGTACTTCCTCAGAATAATCCGAAGGATCACCAAAAGAAGGACAAGAAGCAGGATCGTGGAAGGTCAACCACGAAGAGCCCGAAAGGGGACCGTGGCAGATCAGCGACTCCGGCAGACACGTCTAAGATAGGATGCGCTTTCCACTTCCATGGGAAGAACGGATGTTCTAGAGGAGACAAATGCAAGTTTAGTCACCAGGAGAAGCGCAAAAGTTCTGCTAAGAAACCAGACAACCTCAAGGGTGACAGGTCAAAGAGTCCTGGTGGTAGGAGCACTAGCCCTAAGCCAATGAAGGATCAGGTCTGTTGGAATTGGCAGAAAGGATCGTGCAAGTTCGGGGACAAATGTCGACGTCAACACCAAGCTGCTCCTGCGGCAAAGCAAGAGGCTAAAGGCAAAGCCAAGCCCAAACCAGCTGCACCAGCCTTCATGCTTTGCGGGGACATCGAGAGTGATGACGAGGACATGCAACCAGCACTTCCCAATATACGACGAGGTGGGTTGGCGCTTCGCTTTAAAGTCAGATTCGATGACCAGGCGAATGTGACCACGTTTCCCTGCGATCCTGGTAACGAGCTAAATACCCGTCCCCTCAGGAAGAAGAAGAGTGAGGTACAGAAGGTGGATACCGAGCTCATTACATCGTTGAGAGCCCTCAGAGTGAACAATATAGCTGCGCGAGTAGCACATGCCAAAGGTAAGATGATGGAGTCATACTCAGCTGAACACATTGCCAAGGCATGGATACAAATCACTCAAGATGAAGGAATCGAGGTGAACGTCGACCTGTCTGACTTCAGCACCAGCGAGGTAGTAAAGAAGGATTCTGTCAACTACACGATACCGGGAGACACGATGTTCATGGCTGTGGAGAGGTATGATGGACCACCGATACGCTTCATCATGGACACGGGATGTGGACACGACTTGATATCAAGAGAGAAAGTCAATGCCATGGGCCTTACCACCAAGGAAGGACCCAAATCCGTGAGCTTCATGACAGCGAATGGTGTAACTAGTACATCAGAGATGGTGGACATCAATGTGGACGAACTACCCATGATGTCCGAGGCACACGTGTTGGAGAGCACACCATCAGTCTTTTCCATCGGGAAGCGGTGCATGGAACAAGGGTACTCATTCATATGGCCGGCAAATCAATTGCCATACCTCATCGACCAGAACGCGAATAAGATTCCGTTATCGGTGCATGACAACATACCCTATATTAAGGTGAATGATGACGACGGGAGATGCTTACCAAGATCGGATGGCTTGGCTACGATACTTCATCGCATACTGTCAGGTGCGGGGTATGAAGACGAGACCACAGCAGGTCAGGAGGCGCAGCAAGAGGAACCTCCGCCCAAGAAACCACGGAGACGGAGGAGAAAGAAGAAAGGTAACCAGAGAGATCAGGATGGTGAATCTGATATCAATCCAGCCGTTGTAGGCGACGAAGGAGAACCAGAGGAACACGGCGATGATAGGTATTCTCCTGAAGAGGAATATGACGGGGAAGACCCGAGAGTCGATCGTGATCTCGATGACCAACCTGAAGAAGCCGAAGACGACGAACATGGAGGTGATGCGGATTCTGAACGAGAGGAGAGTGACATTGGTGAAGATGAAGAGGGACTACTGGAAGTCGATGTGGTCGACGGGGAAGCCAGACTATCAAAACCAGGAGTGCTGAAGAATGAGGCGAAATCCATATTGCATCTGATGACGCACCGATACAGGAACCCATACTGCAAGTCATGTGTGAGAGCAAAGATGAAGCACTACAAGACTAGCAAAGGGGCTTTCAAACGGAAATTGAAGGCATTTGGTGACCTTATCACTTTCGATCTCATGAACACTCAGAAGATGGCAAGAGATGGGATCATGCCGGATAAGGATGTATTGGTGATTCGAGATCGGTTCACTGGTGTGATATGGGGTTATCCTTTGAAAGCGAGCAATAGTGACGAAGTGGTGCAGGCGATGAAGCACTACATCGGTAAGAGAAAAGTCACCAACGCTTACTCTGATGATGCGCCACAATTTGAGGTAGCACTCAAGGAACTTCGGATTCCACTAGACCAGTCGCTTCCAGGACATCCCCAGAACAATTCACTCGCCGAAAGAAACAATC